GTCGACACAATGCCGGAACTAGAATGTTCGAGAAGAATGGTTTGAGAAACAGAAAAATTCTCTTTCATATGTGAAAGAGGATTCACTTCCATTTACGCGTTCTTTTCAAATTTCATGTCGCCGTTGATAGAAGTAATTGATGATAATGATAATGCATGCGAACATTCTGGACATGTTTACATTTGCACCAATGTAGCACTATCAAATAGCTCCAGAGATTTATCGATTTCATAAATACCAACTTTTATTCTCTCTCCCGATTTGCTTGATAAATTTAGGCGACAAATATTAGAATTGGTCGCGCAAAACAGAAGTATGGTTTCCCTGCACTAACTAGTAGGGGCTTGATTAATGCAGAATAATTATTGAAGCTAAAATCACTGTCATCTTTTCTCCTGCTACACGTCCATCAACCTGTTCAATGGAAAAAAATCCTCCTAAAAATAAACGTTTTATAGTAAAGCGCATGAGAGCTTTAGAATAGGACGCTATAGAAATTTTTGTATGATTATTATTATTATCCATATTGAAAACACTTCTGTGAACCCTTTAATAAGCATCTTTGTTTACGTGTGAAAAGTGGACAGATTGAATAATCATGCCTAAATACAAGTTTAAAGATCACGTGATCTTCTGTTTTGAGAACATTCAGCAAAATAATTGCATTTATTGGTACTAATCAGTCAGTTGGGGAATAAAAGTTTCGATCATCTTTGCTAAAGATGATTTTTGGCCTGTAAAATGGTATCTTGTTTGAATATGAAAACTTGAAATTTGCATATTGGTGAAATCTATTATGTTGCAAAAATTTGGTTGCGTTGAGTTTTCGAATCCAATTAACTTTGTTTATTATTATTTCCGTGAGATCCACATATCCTGCACTTGTTACTGCGTGTTCTATATCTAAAAAACACTTTTTTCCGAATCCGTTTAACTTTGATTATTCTCGTTTCCTTGTGTGCTCTATTTTTTGCGTGATAGAGGACATTGAGTCACCGATGACAAGTCGTCTGCCGCCTATGAATTCGAATTAATGTCTGTACTACGTTGATTGTCCGACTTAAGTATGGAAGCTTCTTTCGACCAGAAAATAAATGTTGTATACCTCGACGAAAGTCGCAGAACTCCTGTGCATCGTGCTGCTCTGGATGGTAAGCACGAACAGGTGGAAGAAAAAGTACGAGTCACCTCCGGACTGGATGACCAAGATGAACAAGAAAGGACCCCACTGCATCATGCGACCGAACACGGACACAGGTACCTTTGCCCGGTTTATCTCAAAGAGATTTAAGGTTAAGTGTCATAATGTGAAACGTATGATTCCGAACACACAGTTGGTGGAGCCAAACACAGTTTTCGTCCCCTTTGATTCTGATCAGCGAAAATAATACTTACTGTAAAATCTACAGGTTGCAGTGGATGTGTAGTTATTAATAAGAGGGTCTTGATGGGGTGTAGCTTTTATGGCTAACGCTTAAAAATACTGGCCAATCTATGGCTAACGGTTAATATCTTTCCAATGTGGTCGACCAATGGTTACCGCCATTGAGACCCTATTTATAGAATCAAACTGTAGAATTCTTAAAAAGTTTTGAATTTGAAGATTTTGAAAGAATGAATCATTGAAAAAGTGAAGTATAAGAATTGACACCAACTGAAGTAAATGAAAGGGCTACACTGGAAAAATAAAGTAAGTGCATTGCTTTCTGTTGTAT